ATGTATGTATGTATGTATGTATGTATGTATGTATGTATGTATGTATGTATGTATGTATGTATGTATGTATGTAATGTATGTAATGTATGTAATGTATGTAATGTATGTAATGTATGTTATGTATGTTATGTATGTATGTATGTATGTATGTATGTATGTATGTATGTATGTATGTATGTATGTATGTATGTATGTATGTATGTATGTATGTATGTATGTATGTATGTAATGTATTATGTATGTACGTAATGTATGTATGTATGTATGTATGTATGTATGTATGTATGTATGTATGTATGTATGTAATGTATGTATGTGTGTAATGTATGTATGTATGTATGTATGTATGTATGTATGTATGTATGTATGTATGTATGTATGTATGTATGTATGTATGTATGTATGTATGTATGTATGTATGTATTGTAATGTATGTAATGTATGTAATGTATGTATGTATGTATGTATGTATGTATGTATGTATGTATGTATGTATGTATGTAATGTATGTATGTATGTATGTATGTATGCATGCATGCATGTATGTAATGTATGTATGTATGTATGTATGTATGTATGTATGTATGTATGTATGTATGTATGTATGTATGTAATGTATGTATGTATGTATGTATGTATGTATGTATGTATGTATGTGTGTATGTATGTATGTATGTATGTATGTATGTATGTATGTATGTATGTATGTATGTATGTAATGTATGTATGTATGTATGTATGTATGTATGTATGTATGTATGTATGTATGTATGTATGTATGTAATGTATGTATGTATGTAATGTAATGTATGTATGTAGGTATGTATGTATGTATGTATGTATGTTATTATGTATGTATGTATGTATGTATGTATGTATGTATGTATGTATGTATGTATGTATGTATGTATGTATGTATGTATGTATGTATGTATGTATGTATGTAATGTATGTAATGTATGTATGTATGTATTGTAATGTAATGTAATGTAATGTAATGTTTTGTATGTATGTATGTATCTAATGTATGTATGTATGTAATGTATGTAATCTATGTATGTATGTATTTATGTATGTATTTAATGTATGTATGTAATGCATGCATGTATGTATGTGTGTAATGTAATGTATGTATGTAATGTATGTATGTATGTAATGTAATGTAATGTAATGTAATGTAATGCAATGAAATGTAATGTAATGCATGTAATGTATGTATTATGTATGTATGTATGTAATGTATGTATGCAACGTAATGTAATGTAATGAAATGTAATGTAATGTATGTATGTAATGTAATGTAATGTAATGTAATGTAATGTAGTGTAGTGTAATGTAATATGTATGTATGTATGTAATGTATGTATGTATGTATGTACGTTATGTTATGTTATGTTATGTACGTATGTAATGTATGTATGTAATGTACGGTACTGTACTGTAATGTAATACAATGTAATGTAATGTATTGCATGTAATGTATGTATGTATATATATATATATGTATATATACAATGTAATGTAATGTAATGTAATGCAATGCAATGCAATGCAATGTAATGTAATGTAATGTATGTATGCAATGCATGTATGTATGTATGTATGTATTGTAATGTAATGTAATGTAATGTAATGTAATGTAATGTAATGTAATGTAATGTAATGTATGTATGTATGTGGATATGTCGATATGTAGATATCGTGCATATAATTTTCCCATGCATATATATAAATATATGATAATAATCCGAATAATTAGCATAACGCCAACAATCATAATAACCAATATAACAATAGACATAAACGTAATAATCATGATGAACATATATATATATATATGTGCACTACTCATAATATATATATATATAGACACCCATTGTAACATACCTACCTAAATACGTACATACGTACATACATACATTCGTGCATATGTACGTACATACGTACGTACATGCATGCATGCATACATACAATAATGTGAATATATTGTAACATATGATATTCATCAGTTTGCATAATGTTACATATTATATTACATATTATTGTACATATATATATACACACAATCTTATGTATGCATCCATACACTGTATGTAATGCTTCGCGGTGCCTATGTTTCCGAGGTTTGACAGTGTGGTGTATGTGCTCTTCACATGGATCTATGAAGTATGGAGTGTTCACACAAGAGTCACAATGCAGCATCCAACTATGGCTTCCGCTCCCCGCAAAACACGACCTCCGGGGCAACAAGGGGAGTTTACTCTTCATACAATGGCTATACCGTGGTTTTCTCTCCCATTAAGCCCCTTGGTGTGGTTTTCGGGTGGAAGCCGTACTAGGATGCGGTTGCTATGGAGGTGGCCTGGGCAAGCCTTGATACCATGAATGACTTTGGCCCCATTCCCGGACATTCTCACTGAGGGCTTCCTGAAGCAACTCACCGTGACCCTAGTGAGCTTAGCTGGAAAAGCTTAGCTTCTGCAGCTCGCTTTGTAAATTATCCGATGCGACTTGGGCCATTTTTCCCGAAGAGTCGGGGCCACTTCCCTGAGGAGTTGAAGAACAACTTGCGATCCCTCCGTGTTTGGATCCGACGCAACGAAGACTTCGCGATCATGGGCAAAGGCAAGGGCAACTCAGTTGTTCAGTGGCACCCATTTTCCCTCTTTTTTTTGGTGGCTGCCCCACTAGAATGGTCTTCCCCAAAAAGGGTTCCTTTTTTTTCCAGGGTCACTGAACGACTGAGGCAAAGGCTTTGCGCCCAAATTTGAGGAGCCCGATGATTCACTGGAAGCAAGGAATGCGAAGTTGCAGTCGCGCCTGGAGCAAGAGGTGACGAAAGTGGAGCCTTGCGCTGGGCGAATCGAGCATCCCGTTTTCCCAGTTTTGGGCCATGAGTCGTGTGGGTGTGGGTCAAAATCAAAGCACCAGGAATTGGACCGCAGGTTTTGGTCCACGTTGCCACTTATCAGGGTTCCATTTTGGGTACCTATTTTTGACCCACAGATATGGCCCCAACAGATTCACAATTCCTATTTAAGGACATCCAAATTGGACAAGTGAGGAGCTGATCATGGTCTGTCGGAACACCAGGCAGGCGTTGGGCGACAAAGGCTCGCGTATCAGGCTGATCAAGCACAAGCTGCTCCAGACGTTTGGCTTTGCGGAGGACTTTATAGAGGTCTTTGTGGAGAGGGCAGAACCAAACTGGGACGACATTGACTTGGGCCTGAAAGGCAGAGGCAAAGGCAAAGGCAGAGGCAAAGGCAAAGGCAGAGGCAGGATTTGGGTCAAGTTTCCTCACGGCTAAACATGTGGAGTCGGAGCCAGGAATGTTGTTTTGTGGGTGTCCAGTTCCATGAGGCTATGGCGACTACGGAAGCGACTCAGACTCAGAGGTGCCACCGCCGCCAGAGGTGACCCGGCCAGCCCTGACCCCCAGCCGCCCGCCCAGAGAGTGGAATTTGATGCCAGATGAGTGGCGCGCGGCTGCTGAGCGCTGCTAGCCTTAGTTTGGCTACCATCTGAGAGAGAGACCTATGATTTTGTTTTGGAGTGTCCGATTCGTGCATGGTGTGTGTGTGTGTGTGCATGGTGTGTGTGTGTGTGTCTCTCTGTGTGTCTCTGTGTGTCTCTGTGTTCCGTGTGTGTGTGTGTGTGTGTGTGTGTGTGTGTGTGTGTGTGTGTGTGTGTGTGTGTGTGTGTGTGTGTGTGTGTGTGTGTGTGTGTGTGTGTGTGTGTGTGTGTGTGTGTGTGTGTGTGTGTGTGTGTGTGTGTGTGTGTGTGTGTGTGTGTGTGTGTGTGTGTGTGTGTGTGTGTGTGTGTGTGTGTGTGTGTGTGTGTGTGTGTGTGTGTCTGTGTGTGTCTGTGTGTGTCTGTGTGTGTGTGTGTGTCTGTGTGTGTGTGTGTCTCTGTGTGTGTGTCTCTCTGTGTGTCTGTTTGTGTCTGTGTCTGTGTCCGTGTCCTTGTCCGTGTCCGTGTCCGTGTCCGTTGTTTGTGACTGTGTCTGTCTCTGTGTCTGTCTGTGTCTCTGTCTCTATGTCTGTGTCTGTGTCTGTGTCTGTCTCTGTGTCTGTGTCTGTGTCTGTGTTTGGCTTTGCAACGTGCTGCTTGCAACACAATGTCATGACAATCAAAGCTTGTTTGCCGACTGAGGCCATGCCAGACTACTGGTGCGCCTGGAGGAGTCGAATCTCCTGGGGACGGGGACGCGTCTCTCCGTTCGTGCGAACGCGACGGTGGATCAATGCGTACGAGACCGCCGTGCCACGTGGCCGAAACACAATTTGGTTACGGAAGATGTGGATAAAGGACATATTATATGTATGCCAATGTATATTTATTTATGAGGGCGATTTCCTTTTTGCGTTGCCGCCAGGGTTCCACGTGCTTAGGTTGCAGAGTCTTCCTGCCTCCTGTCAGCCTGCGGTCTTGCATCCGGCCTTCTTTCGGGGTTTGCCCGTCCATTGTGCAAATCCCTCCTCAACTAGACCGCCCAAGAGAACAGGGGACAGACTTGAGCTGGGCTTTGCGTTTTCCAACCTCCTCTATTTTGGGCGACCTGGCCTGTGCTCTACGACAGTCCAGTTGCGCAGGGCTTCCGGGACTTGGACTCCCAGGTCCTGGGCTTGAATCCCGCAGGCGCCCTGGGCTCTTCTTTGCGGATGACGCAGGCTGGGCTGGAGCCCCGCACGTGCTCAGTGCACAAAACATGGTGCTTCGGTCGGCATGTGGCGCGCCACTGCCTGCGCGACCCCCTGCCCCAGCGCCCAGCCCTGAGCTGCCTGATCATCCTGGCCTCCGCATGCTCCTTCCACGCGGAGCTGGCGCTGGTCTTGCCGGCCCTCTGAAACCACTGCGGGGCCTCGAATGTTCAAACACAGCAAAAATAGAATGGCAAAACCGAAGAACAAAAAAAAACATGTCACTCAGAATGCACCGCTATCTGGGCGTCTGGTTCTTCAGCCTCGCTTCGACACTGTCTCCGGCGCGAGGGGCCCGTCACCGTTGTCTACCACGTCGGCCAAATGCTCCCTGGCTCCATGGGCTCGACCCACTTCCCCGATCGGTTTCGGTGAGGACCTCACCACTGCATGCTCCCCCTATGTCCAAGGCTTTCGCCGCATGTGGCAAGTTGTTGCCCAGCTGCCGGCCTTTCCCATTTCTTGAGGGAGGTTGCCGTGACCTTCGGCCGGAATGGCATGCCGCCGGCCAACCGCGACATTGTTGTGTGGCCACATGGGGCACCCGCACGGCACAGGCTCTCTCTGAATGCAATTCACATTCTGCCTGCGAGCGCCACAAGCTGCTCGCCTTCGCCGTTTCCCGCCACGCGTGCTACCTTCGCCAGAGGACTCCAGCCACAAAAGTCAAGGCGGCCTCTGACTTGGCGGGAAGGGTCAACGCGCCAGTATACATATATAGTATACTGTGTACAAATATAAAATACGTGTTTGCACACACTAAATACACATGGGTCAGCTGGTGGAGGGTTAGTTGCGGAGTTCCGGAATTTTCCAGGGGCTCCACAGGCATATTGCCTGCGCCTGTGGCGCGAGTACTCCATGCGCAAGGCCCCCAGGCCCGCCATGCCGTCGCTCAAGGAGAAGCATTGCTGGCAGGGTATGAGCAGATCGCTCATGCTTCTAGGGATCCTTCCCCATTTCCATTATTTCCAGGGATCCTTCTTTCTAGAAAACCACCAAAAACTTGGGGACATGTCTGGTTTTTGAAATAACGATGGCTGACATGCTTCTAGGGATCCTTCTTGGAAACCAACTGAAACCCAGGGGAACAGCCGGTTTTCGAAAAGAACGATGAAAGAATGGGGAATCAACCATCAACCCCTACAATGCTGGGTTTTTTGGTCGATCTTGAGACTGTCAGGTAGAGCCGTGTCCAGCATCCAGCACTTTCAATTGCTAGTCGCTGTTTCAAAAGGAGTCGCCCTTCAGTAAACGCAGTCGCGTCTGACCTTTGCGGCAGAGAATCTAGTGCAAGCACAAGAGCGAATCCGAAACATGGAAAATGCGGTGTCCGTCCCTTCCATGTTACTTTCTATTCTTTACTACAGAGGCGAAACTCCTCATGTTGGAATGTTCCAACCTGCTCCAGATTGCTCCAGCATTTGTGCACGGAATCAAACTTGAACCCCAAATTTGGTACGGGGTCCCCTCATCCAAGCTGGCTGCACATTGCATATATCCTTCATTCATAGTTTGGTGACGATTTTACCTCAACAGACCTTCGGGCAAGTTTGTGCTTTGTTCAGTCGCCATGCGGTTTGCCATCCCATATGTTCTTTGCGCGTAATCTCCTCCAAGGGGACATTGTTTTCCTTCAAGGGATCTGGCCCATCCGCGGCTTTTTTGTTGATGTTCCCGTTTTCGGAGGCAATGTCGCCTTCTGGTTATTTTTTTTTTTGTGCGGCTCGGCGCATGGGAATGGACTAAAGGCATACAGGCTAGGGTTTCATCTCACTTTAAGAAATCAATTGGTTTTGCAAAGTTCATTGGCACCCTTCTTTTCTTTGTTACAGTCGATGTTCGAACTGCCAGCCAAACAGAGAAATCCCTTTTTTCCCCCACTCGAGACGGTCCCTAGTTGTTTCTGAGCCTCGCAGGAGACCGTGGAGCCGGCTTGCGTCTGGGGCGCCGCTGACGACTGGGGCGCCCCTGGTGACGTTTTGCTCGATTGGGACACTGTGCCGACCTTCGGCCAAATGAGATTGGTGACTTAGGTCCCCCAGGAGTGCCCGTTTACCCTTTTTTGCGCCCTACTAAAATAGACTAGAGAGAAAAGGTACCCTTATTCCCTCCTCTCCACTGGAGGGCCTAGGTGAGATTTCTCTGGAGTTCGCAAACAAAGCTCGTTTTGTTTTTTGCGCACTGGTTCAGGGCTGGGCCCCCAGAATTTTTGCTGCCCATTTGACGTCTGGCCGCTCGTTTTAGTTCACCGTTGTCCCCTGGTTTTGCACTTGCAGCCATGTTGGAAGTCACATGTACCAGCTGATTTTGCGGATCTTGTGAAACCGGTTGTTTCGGGGTCGATGTATTTGACTCCGGCGGAGGCAAAAGACTGCAGCTGGAGCTCACAAGAAGCTGGTTTTGAAGGACTTCAGCGACGAGGAGGTGCAGCTGGACGTGGACTTGACGCAAACAGCCGGTGACGTCCTGGCCGCGCTGCGCGAAGCCCGCAACTTCGCCAAGGTGCGGTTTTGGGTGAGCTGGGAAGCTCCCGTTTATAAGCGGACCCTTGCAGATGGCGGTTTCCCTTGTCAGATTGCGGATTTTTCGGATCCCTCATTTTGACCCACCCAGCCCGTCTGGCTTGTTTTTTGTTGGTCTGGAGTGGACCTGTTTGCTTCAAGCGCAGAGAGCCGTGACAAGGGAAGTGATGCAACTGGTTGGGCAACGTTGTCAGCACTGCGTACCCATCGCCCAGGTTAAGATCATGACGGATTTGGGACCAAACACTCGGAATTGCTGACATGGCCAGGGCAAACTTAGATCGTATTTGTTCAACAACTACAGTCAGGGCAATGCCATGCTAGGAAAACAGCGGCATGCTCTGGGTATGCGCTTAGTTGTTTTCGAACCCAAGGAAACCAAGGGGTCGCTGATCGTCGGTTTAACTGGCTTATCCAAGCCCTCTATTCCCCGGTCGCTTGTGTTCCTGGTCCCGTGGCTTTCGCACTCGAGGGCGTCCGGCTACAGCTTGTGCTCACGCCCAGTGGCCGACAGCTGGAAGAGGACTGGAGTCCGAACCGGCTCTTGAGAACGGCGTCCTCTCTTCACCCGCAGAATTCATTGTGGCTTTAGCTGATTTTTCAGCTTCCTCACAGGAACCTCGAAGCTGACAGGAAGACTTTGTCCACTTTCAAGATTGTTGGAGTTAGTAAAAGCAGTGGCCCAAAAACTCTTCAGAGCAAGCTTGTGTCATGGCTGGTGTTTCAGAAACTTGTGTGACACTTTCAGAGCGAGTTGTGGCCGGCTCTTGCCGCATGCGTTGAGTCCGATCAGGTTCGTTGAGCGGAAGTCGAGCATCTTGATGTCTTGATTCTTGGTGGTTGGGGTTTTGGGTTCAACTGCGACACCCCTTTCGTGGCACACTTCGGCGGTACACTTCTCCGTGGTTGGCTGTCCATTGATTCAGGGAGCAGTCCCGGCATACGCTGCCTACGCTGGAAAGGTGATGCCCTGCTGGTTTCGGACTTTTGCGCAATGCTCGCGGTCTGCATGGCATGGCTGTTTTGCCCAGTGCACCACTTAAGAACCAAGTCTAAGTGGAGGGCTTGAGCCAGAGTGAATAGAGGTTGTTTGTGGAACATTGAAGATGCCGGGTCGTGTTCTGCCATATAGTCTAGTGTATACATAGGGTTTCTTCACGCACAAACACCCTTGCCCGGTTTGCAGCCCGTTACCCCACGTGAATCCTCTAGTCCCATTGCAAGGATGTTTGTACATTGTAAAGCGCGGATAAGCAACTAGGCTTTCAGCTAGGTGCCCTTTTACCCTTTTTGGGGGGAGGGTTCCCCTACTAAAATAGACTGCAGAAAAAAGGTTGCCCTTATTCACGAGATGAAACGTCACCAATGAAAGTCCTTTCCCCCCGGGGGGGATGCGTTATTCCCGGCTTGGCAATTGCAATTCTTCCAGACATGGCTATCATTTCAATGCAAACTGGCCTGGCCAGGAGTCCCCCAAAATTCGCACCCACGTTTTGCTCGAGGACTTCCGTCTCTCGCAGATCCCGGCGGGGGAGGAGCTCAAGTTCATGGTCTGGATGTGAGCCTTGAGACGCGAACGCCCGAGCCGCGAGGGCGCCAGGAAAAACGGCGCGAGCCACGAGAGACAGTCCAAGGGGCCATGTTTCGACAACCCTCAAAATGATGAGCTGCTATTTGCTGGAAAGTGAATTGTAAGATCGAGGTACATGAGAAGTCTTTTGTTGAATTGATCTTCGGGCTACAAGCGGCAAGGGAGGCTTTAGGTCAAGATGACATCAGGACCCCTGAGACAAGCAGAGGCCCAAGGGGCATGTTAGGGTGTCCTAAAACAGCGGACCCCTTGCGGGGTGACTTTTAGAGCCTCCAGCTCAGTCCGCCGACATTGTCCTCTCCCTCTTCTCCTTCTTCCTCTCGCCCTTGTCTCCTCCCCCGCGTGTTCTATCGTCCTCTCTCCCTCCCTCTGCTCTCTATCCTCCCCATCCCCCCAAGCATCTCTCTCTCTCTCTCTCTCTCTCTCTCTCTCTCTCTCTCTGTGTCTCTGTCTCTTCCTGTCTCCCTGTCTCCTTCCTGTCCACGCCCCTCTACAGAAAAAGGGCACCCTTATTCTAACCTCTCTACTGGAGGACCTACTCTCTCTCTCTCTCTCTCTCTCTCTCTCTCTCTCTCTTTCTCGCTCTTTCTCTCTGTCTCTCTCGCTCTCTCTCTCTCTCTCTGCCTTTCTGTCTCTCTCTCTCTCTCTCTCTCTGTGTTTCTCTCTCTCTCTCTCTTTGTCTGTCTCTTTCTCTGTCTCTTTCTCTCTCTCTCTCTCTCTCTTTCTCGCTCTCTCTCTCTCTCTCTCCCGCTCTCTCCCTGTCTCTCTCTCTCTCTCTCTCTGCATTGGGGTTATCCTCTATCCTCTCTTAGGTGTCCGACACGCCGAGCAATGTCGGCGGATATTCGTTCAAAGGGACACCACCACCAGACCATTTCGAGGGTCCTATGCTTTAGGAAACAGGACTCTACAAACTCTTAGTGAGCAAATCTTTGGCTGCGGGTTGCTTTCGGGCCAAATCCTGTCAGGCTCCACCATTTGGCCCTGAGTTAGAGCGCTCGTTGCGTCGGATGTCTCTCCTGTTAGGTCTTGGGTGTACCTCTTTTGAAGCAGACCCAGCAACAGAAAGTCCCTTTTCCCCCAAAAAAAGGGGTGCCCTGTTTGATCCGGTTTTCCCTGGCCACCGGGTGACCGCCCCTCACCGGTTTCATGAAACAAGAAGGATCCCTGGAAAGAATGGGGAAAGTAGCCCTAGAGTGTTCCCCTGGCCACTGGTCGCCCCAACCACTCCTATCCAAACCAGGACTTCTTGCGGGAGTACACCGGGAACTATGACCTCGCAGAGGTGAAGAGCCTGGAGCTGCAGGCGACTCGACGGTGGCCGGGCTGCGGACTCTTCCTTGTGGGGCCTGTGTAATATACGGCTGCGGGTCAAAAATAGGTACCCCAAATGGAACCCTGGCAAGTGGAAACATGAACCAAAACCTGGTTCCCTGGTGGTTTTATTTTGACCCATACCAATACTTCCAAGGCCAACACTGCCAAGGCAAGGAAAAACAGTGTGAACGACATTGTTTGTTGATGGATAGACCCGTTCTTATCCTTGCATCTGATCCGTCTCCTTGTTGGCTCCGCTGCGCAGCTTTTGACCCAGCTTAACTGCAGACAGTGCGCAGTATGTTTACACATGCTTGCTTGTCATATTGTCACATGTTTGCAAATGTGTCATGAGCATGACAAAGGAGAACAGTTAGATGTCCCCTGCCCCCTTCAAAACCCTTTCTATCAAGGATTCTAGGGATTCTTGGGCTTCTAGGGCTTTTTCTCAACAAGATTGACAACCTGAAGCTTGGCGCAAACCCCCAGGTTGATGCGGTGGGCGCAGGTCAACGCGCAGGGAGCTTAAGACCGGCCTTGGGAAGCAACTGTCATTGGCTGGACTGCGCCATCAGTTGCCTATGCCATGTGCTTGTACATATCGATATCTTCACACGAGTATCCAGGTTTGAGCTCTTTGGAAAACCTTTTACTTGTATAGGGTGATACTTGCACTGGACACATAGCCTGATTTGACGTTCGGGCTGTTGTGTTCATTAGCCAGTTGGTCATGCCATGGGTTTCCAATAGCAGCGTGCTGCACAACATCAAACAAAAAAGGATTCTTTTTTTTTTCTTCTTTTTTTCTGGTGCTCAGGTCATTCATGAGGCTAGGAAGCCAAAGGTGATTGTTTGAAGAAGTTGCTGAACCGAGGACCTTGTGCTCTCCCTTTCTGTCCTTGCATTGCACCTGTGTGCGGGCACGATCAACTTCATGGAACCTCATTCGCGCAAAAAGTTGAGCGGCCGAAAGATGCTTTTCTTCGGGCCCGACCCCCCCCCCCCCCCCACCGGGCGCGCGCGCGCGTGCGCCCGGCCTTAGCCGGCCTTACGGAGCTGGGTAGAAGTTCAGAAAGTGGCTGAAAACTCAATGCAAGAGTCAAAGGTAATGGTTGGGATGCATCGGAAGACATGGGCTGTTTGCACAATCGACACGTTTCCAGCGGTTTGCCGCAGCATTGTTTGCGATTGTTTGCACGGGATGTCCCTTACCATAGTCAGGTGAACGTGCTTGCAAGGTGCATGTGCGGCTCACCCTTTGCGTCGCCTTGTTCCTGTCTTTTAAAGCCCAGCAAGCAGTCCCTCCCGTCCTGCAGCCACACTGCTTGTCCTTTCCACAGGATTGCTCCGAGCCTTGAAATGATGAGCCAGCCACAAGCGTAGGTGTCCTTTTCAGGTGAGTTTGGTTAAAGTAGATGGGTCCCACTGGTTTAGATGGTGTCCATTTACCAGGGCCATCTATTGTTCCGTCTATTACCAGGGCCCTTCCCCAGGGACCCAATGCCTCCCCGCGCGAGCCACCGAGTCGGGTCTTTTCAGTCGCAAGCCAAGGTCGAGAGCCTCGGCGAGCTGCTGCCCAGTCTTCAGCAGCGCCTCGGCTTTTGCGTGCTGTTTGAGGCTGGGTGTGGCTCAACATTAACTCAGTTGTTCAGTGGCACCCTTTTTCCCCTTTTTTTTTGTATAGTGGCTGCCCCGCTAAAAATGGTCTTCCCCAAAAAGGGTTCCCTTTTTTTGAGGGTGAACAACTGAGTTAAACAGGAGGGGCAAACCGCAGGTTTTGGTCCATGTTTCCACTTACCAGGGCAACCCATCTTGTTACCATTATTTTTTGAGCCACAGCCAGGGTGGCCTTTTTCAGGTGGCCATGGTTCAAAACCAATGGGATCACATGTTGCGATAGGTGCACCACCCATTTTAGTCGGGGTTTTAGTGGGGATTAGGATGTTCACTGGGGGCTAACCGGGGTTTTGACCCATGGCCAGGTGACTTAAAGGAAATCAACAGGAAGACCGCCATTGTCGGGGTCCCCATATTTTGACACATACCCGGGTGGAGGACATGAAGCAAACAGCACCAGGTGCGTAGCGGCTTTCAAAGAAAGAACGTGGCAGCCAAAGTGCAGTGGCCTGAAGAAGCGACACTGGACCGAAAATATCAACTGTCCAACCAATTCTTGCTTACTCATGTATATCCTGCCGTGGCAGCCAGTTCCCAAGCTGCGCAGGAGAGCCAAGAGCTTGTCTCCCTTTTCAACCTTTTCTTCAGGTAGCGGGCAGAGTGAGTCGTGATGCTGTCAGTTGCTGAGGTATCCGTCAAATAGGTAATTGCCGGTGCTAGGCAGTGGATCCGCCACAGCCGGACGGCAATAGCAAACGCCAGCTAGTGCTTTGCACTTGAAAGGAGAGGTGTCGACTGTACGAATTCTACTGCTCTTTACAAATAGATGTCGGGCAGCGCGTAACGCAGTGCAACAGCAGGGCACAGGAGAATCCATCGTTCCATGCCCATGGAGAACTAGGCCATGTTGCTCGTGGCTCACGCAGGTTGGGGTACAAGGTTCTGGTCTGAAACGCTTTTGACACCAGAGGCAGTTTAGTAGAAGCAGAGCTCTGCAACTCAAGGTGTGGCTTTTTGGCTTGGCAGTCAGAGCTGCTTTTCCCTTCCAGTTTTTAGCTGGCTTGTCAGGTTTGGACAGGCAACTTCAATAGGCAGACCCTGCTTTTCGCACTCAGGTTGCGGCTCAGTCAGTCGCACCTTTGCTAGAACCTCAGATGTGTCGGCTGATACATGTCATGTTCAGCAGCTTTCTAGTGAAGCTTTTTTTTTTGAACTGAAAACGCTACCGGGTCGTTTTATTGCCTGTTAAGCACCGCCCGGGCAGTGTTGCGTCGTTTATGAGCACTGAGAGTGATCATGCATATCCCATTATTCATGAAGCATGATCATGTTCAGTCCTCGGAACACACACTGTCTATTCGCAGTAGATGACAAAGCTGCTTTCTCACCAATTTCGGTTGTGAGATGTGTCAGCGACGCCGCGGTGCCAGCGGTCCCATCCAGGAGTGTGTTTTCCTGCGGGGTTCTCTCCTCTCCGGTGGCTGCGCAATAGTTTGGACATGTCAGTGGCCCACCCGTGGCCCTTTAGGGGGTTATCGGCAAAAACAGCTGCAGTCATGCGTCAGTGCGCGCATTTCTCGGGAGGAGAGGGCTTTCTTGAATCTCGGGAATTCTGCTGCTCAAATCGTTTGATGGAGGCCGTTTTGCATCGGTGTGGGGCGTAGAAGCCTTGCATGGGTATTGATCATGCGCACACATTACACTGAATGCTGGGCTTCTGAAGCACTGTCAGCCATTAACAGCAAGTGCCTAGCTCTGCGGCATAGAAGATGTGCGCTGCTTGTAAGTTAAAGCCTTGTTTATCTCGCCGCTGATGTTACTAGTAATGTATCATACACATATGGACTCACGTAGCGGGTATAAAGAGTAAAGCACTTGTCTGCCGCAGCCACGTCAGTTTAAGGTGTGGCGTAGTTGGATGGGGGAGCAGCCGTGCCCACTGTGTGAAGGTCGGTACGGGACCTTCCGGTGGTGCACGGTGTGTAGCTCCCTGGAACAGCTCCGTTTCGCTGTCCTCCGTGGGTTTGAGCGGGAGGACAGCGAGGAGCTTGGGAGGAGAATCAGGGATTTCTCCTCGAC